GGTTCATCATAATCAATCAAATTTGACACTCCTTTGGAACGAATCGACGAAATAAAGGATCTAGGAATTACTTTAGATAAAAAAATGGACTTCCACAAGCATGTGGCAAATATTTGTAAATCGGCGAGCCGACTCATATGGTTTATTCTGTGGACAGGTTCAGAATTTAGCAATTTTGCTGTGGCCAGAGCACTATATAACGCGTATGTGCGAAGTAAACTCGAATACGGGGCGGTTCTATGGGACACGAGAAAAAATATAGCCTTATGGTGGAGAAGTTGCAGAGGAAGTTCGCTCGGTGGTAACTAAAAAAGTGCAATGGGTATTATCCGTATCTTTATCCCTCGTCGTTCGTGTACGTTATGGTAGGGCTGAATACACTCGCTCTTAGGAGAAAGGTCATTCTCGTCATCCACTACCTCTCTGTGCTCTACGGCAAAGTGGATGCCCCTGGCGTGCTGGAGCGGGTGTGTTTGTTGGTGCCCTCGCGCGTCCCACACGACGTCGGCGGGCTGGTGGTGCCGCGCCGGCGCCCGCGCCTTATACACCGGCCACTCACGCGCACCGTACACGCCGCGCACGCACCCACTACGCGCGCGATCCAACTGATCAGGGACATGCTCGCTCAATGTAAGAATATCGACTTATTCGCTGATGGTTTAGCAAAGCTAGTGGCGGCTGCACTTGAGTTTCTTGAGAAAATAGCATATTAATTATTTCTGAATTTGACAATTCATTTATTTATAACTAAAATGGTATGACATTATTTATTAAATTAGAATATTTGACATTATCTGTTCTTAGTTGACATTAGATATGACATTATTAATTGTTTTATTGATTTGACATTTTTAACTATTTTATTATAAATTTAATTAACTTTTACAATGGGTGATTTGACTTTGTTTCTATTAAGTACTATTTGACATTGATATTTGACATTACCTAACTATTTAACTATTTGGCATTACTGTTTATTTTTTTTGTTATAATTATTATTATTTGATTATCTCTTTTTCTTAATTTTATTGAATTTAATGAATACCTTCTATGATTGTTAAAATTTTGTATGTATGACTTGCCGGCGTTTTGGATTATTCTGTAAGCCTGCATGTTTAAATTGAATAAATAAATAATCATGAAAAGCAATTGGCGGAACCCATTGTCATTGCCTTGTGATTTCAGGTAAAAAAACAATTAAACAATTACGATCACGATTTTAATTATTTTTATAATGTTAATACATAGTTTTTGCGAATTAAGATGTCAAAGTTAGACATATGCTGTCGCTGACTTTTTGTACGCATTATCAAACTCAGGCAGCGTTCATTAGAAACGATTTTGTTCGACCGTTTTTCTTTGAATTTAATGCAAATGAGCGCAAATATTATTTGTATATGCTTGCTTGTATGTCACAAAAAAGTAACATATTATCTCTAGTCTTATTTTATACTATAATATAAAAAAAAATTGTGTGTGTCAGCTCCGACGCACGACCGGAGTTCACTCTAAAAACGATTGTCTTTGAACAGACACAAAACAAAATCAAGTCCGAAGAAGTCGGTCACAAGTAGAGATACCTCAGGAATCGTCCCATGGTTTCGACTATCATAGGTTCCATGTCACACATTTTATCATCTAACATCAGCGATATTCATCATATATTTTATTATGTATTTCTGGCAACACACAATTTCAAAAATATCACACACTAGTCATCATTTTGTAAATATGTATTATAATTCCATCTGTACTGAAAATCACTATTCCAGAGTGCTGGACACTTACCGGCATTTCTCTATATTCTGTTATTTATTTGTTTTCATTAATTTTGCTCCGATTTTATCTATTTTTAGTTTCTTTATTTTATTGACATCTGTGACAACTTAATGTTTTTTATCCGTTGCCATGGCTAAAAGTGAAAGGTGCGCAGATGAGGTTGCGCACAAAAACATAACGAGGTCATTAATGTCATTCATCGATAGATTTTACTCCTCACATTTTTCTCATCCGGGCCCCTTATATTTGCAAATCGATTCTTAAGGAGTAAACTCAAACAAAAATAAGTATTTGTAAAGTCAAAACGATTAGAAGTATGAAATAACGTGATATATATATATATATATATATATATATATATATATATATATATACGGACGTAATTTTTAAGTTTGAACGAAATATATTAAATAAGAATTCTTCGTAATTTTTGGACAGCATATGGTTATAAAATGCTGTAAATTATTTTCTTACGTACTATTAGGTACAATGAAATCAGTAATATGTATTCCTTCATAGAATTACTTAAATGTCTTGGTTTACCGAATCAATTTACCAGAGACCAAATTGCTAAATTGAATTAGGAACTGTCTAACTTTGCTGTCAAACAAAGTTAAGAAACGAAAAAGAAGATAATTTACATTTTAAGTATTGATAATATTGGAATATTGTCATTGAACGTGAAAGTTGAAGTAAAAATAAATAAGAGTACCTATTGCTGAATCTCAACAACCTAGAACTGCATTATACCTAAGTTAACTTTTAAATTAATTTAATGTTGCGAACTATTTATGCATAATCAAGTTATTTTATTATTGAAAATAAAGGTTCAATGTTTATTAATAATGTCTAATCATAGTGAATTGGTTATTTAATGTTGTTTTCTATGATTTTAAAAAAATAGTATTTCCTTTAAAGATCTACGTCATCTTGTGTAAGGTGAAAAGTGAAAAACAAATGCTAAATAGCAAAATTATCGATGGCATTTTTATTACAACGAATTAGTAAAATATATGTTAATGTTCATATTACCCTAATAATGCTGCGTTTTATATTTGTTTATTACGTTTTTTTTATGGATTGTTTCCTTGCTTTGTTGAGTTGACGCTGTCGGTGATCGACGGAGGTTGTTGAACCTGAAAAACAAATTTATCAACACACAAATTAAACAACCTGTACCCTGCAATTATCTCCAATAATTATTTCTTTTTAACTTCCATTTCAATGTTTTATGCTGATGTAAATGATAATTCGATATTTGTTTTTTTATTTAATAATATGATAAAATATATAACTACGACTTATGTAGAAAAATATTGGATTTTGTGTAACGACTACTTGTTATTCGGGAGATTCTCTATAAACTTAAAATATTTATTAATATTCAAATGTAAATAAACAAATGAATTCTAGCATCCACTGGCATCACTACATTATGTATTTCATAATCGGTTTCGCACAAATAAACTACGGCCGACGGCCGCCGCTACGATGTGGCGTGCCGCCGACGGCTACGAGACTACGAAATAGCGAGACTACGAAGCATTTTAACCAGTTTTCCGATTCTAAATCTGAAATATCTAAGACAATATAATATAAATCTCTGTTGTATCATTATTTATACATCGGTAAATACAAATCTAATATATAAAATTCTCGTGTCGCGGTGTTTGTGGATAAACTCCTCCGAAATGGCTTTCCCGATTCTCATGTAATTTTGTGTGCATATTGGGTAGGTCTGAGAATCGGACAACATCTATTTTTCATCCACCTAAATGTTAACCCCTATTTTTTTTTGTTTTTTCAATTTTGGATATTTTTTTTATTTTTTTTATGAGACCACTTACAAAAATACATCCAACCCTAAATTTTCACCTTTCTACCACTAACCCCTATTTTTTTTATAGCGGTACGAAGTTCGCTGGGACAGCTAGTATTTAAATAAAAACTTCCGAAATGCATCTATATAAATAAAATGGATCGCCGAAATGTATGTACGCGCATAACATCCGAACTTTTGTGCTAAATTGGATAATTCTTTCATTTTTGTTTTCTTTATTGTCAGTACTATATTTGTAAAAGAAAATTTTAAACAAATTGAACAGAATAACTATGTGCTGGTACGAAGTTCGTCGAGTCAGCTAGTTTATTATAAAAACATATTAAGCTATAATAACTACACGTAATATCCTTTGATGTTCTTTTCAATATGCAAGGAAATTTATATTTATGTATATTCTTTTCATATTAAATATTCTTAATTTGAAATACCTAATTATAGATATATCAGTTTACCTTTCTTTTTTTTTAAACATTAAATGCGGTACTCTGCTTTTATTACATAAACGATACTTTTACATTAAATTAAAAATGTATCATTTTTAATAAGTCTCATTAAAAGCAATCTTTCAAACGTTATTGAAGTTAATAAAGGAGTTTTAAATAAGTATCATGCATTATTAACATAGTACCTACCTTATTGATAATTAATTGATGTCTTTTGTCAATTATATCCGATGGCTATTTACATATTTTAAAAGTGTATGTACAACTATTTTTACTTTCATTATAAACCCATTTAATATATACCTAAACATAAAAAATAAAGTATGTTGATTTTATGGAAAATCACAAATCAAAGTTCACACCTAGAAAGTCCTTTTTTATCCAAAACTGTATTCACTATTTCTCAGAAATTCCTGGAAAATAATTAATAGGTACAAGTTATTTAAAACTAAATACAAATAAACCTTAATGGAGCTCCATATAAAAAATCGCCATAGCTCGCCAGCGTTTCATGACAAATTCGCAGAGCAAATCAAACAAAAACATGGATGCACCTGTAAACAATATTATTTACACGTAGAACGTGTACCTGAAAGAGAAAAATTATGTCAATATTTATTTGGCTTGTGCCGTCGGAAAGGACGGTGTTGTTTATTATTGATTTTAAATTTTGTTTATTTATTTTTTATCTTTGTTTCTTTGTAGATTTTTAAAAAATAAATTTGTACGTAATTTTTTATGTGTTATTGTGTTTTAAAAAGTATTATTCTATTGTTTAAAACCCATTCCTCTTAAAAGGTTAGTTCACATACGAGATGTTAGAGAAGAGAGCATCGAATAATAGACGAGTATTTAAGGTTTTCGAGTAAAGTGAAGGTGAAGAAGTCCTGAAAAGTAAAGGCTGGCATAGATAATGGTAGGAGGCGTGTACTCACAGATGGGTTGGGGACGCAGCGCCGCGGGTCGCTAGTGCGGTACGTGGGGCTGTAGCGCGCCGGGAAGCAGCCCGGCGGCGCCATCAGGCCCCCGCCGGACTTCATCTTGTCCGGCGAGTACATCGCACACGACCCCCAAGGGTCGTCCTCCAACTTCAACACCTTGGAGGGTGAGTGGTACTGCCGGTCGAAAATCTTGGCGGATTTCTATCGTACTTCGGGGTTGAAAAGGCGACGCGTCGCCGCGACCGTTCCGCCCGCCGGGTGATGACCGACTGAGCGCGCCGCGCGGTGACGTCACTCGCCACGCCCTCCCCTCTCCTCTCCTTACCCGCCCCTCGCTACCCAAACCCTCCCCCCTCCCAACCGGCGCCTCCCACCCACCCCTCGTCTCACGCATGTTTACGTCGCCGCCGGCCGATCCACGAATTACTGAATTATTTAATTGCCCCATTCACTTCCCTTACCTGTTACCTTTTCACGCTTTCAATTCCAAAAAGGTTGACGGATGGCTGGCGTGACTCGATCGGCACTGCTAATTGTGCCCTAATCAATAAGTAGAGGAACAAATTCACAAGTTCTGGGTACATACTAAGTACATTAACATTACAAACGAACTGAAGATTTATTGTGTTATATATTTAGTTGGCAGATATGATTCGTCATTATAGGTTTGTTCAGATATTTTACTGATCGATCGACTTACTATATCTTCCATACCTATTTTTCTTTCCGATGATATTATTTTGGTATCAATAAAATATAATGTGAAATCTTGGATTGACACTGCTGATATTCTTAATGGAAAGATATAAAATGAAATCTTATAACAATAACGTTAAAAACTTAAACGTGTTATATTTTAGAAGATTTCAACTAGGCGTTTTAACTGAACGCTATAATAATACAAAGATTTTGACCTTATTGCGATTCGAATGTTATAACCATATTTCAAGGAAATGGGCCCCGAATCAAAGTACCTAACTCCACCCACTATATCCCTCATACAGTTAGGATGTGTGCACGAATATTATTTGAAAAGATATTTCGTGTTTTGGCAGGTATCAAAGCATAAAATCGCTAAATAGGATGGTTAATTAAAGCCACATGTAGGAAGGAGTCAAGCAAGCAGATAAAGGTAGTTCCAAATATAAGCACAATTTATATAGAAACCATGCTAGTTATTACACTAGGTACTCCGATGGTATGCAATACCTGTGTCCACTAGCATTAGGCACTAAGCAAATAGCTAGTCTTAAACACAAACCTAGGCTCTTTGTAGAAGCCTTAACTTAGAATCACATGCGAGGAGTTAAGTACGTATTTTGGTAAAATGATATTTTTATTCAATTTCATTTTGAAAAAACAGGTGATTTATTTTCATACCTAAATTGGGACCCATGTCGTATTTTAACAAAATAACTGCACCTTCGATATTAATCAAGGTAGTAATGTTCACTTGACCAAAATACGTTCACACACTCACGCATTATATCTCGCATAGATATAAGTGGCTCTTATTTAGTCTGCTTTTATTTTTAATTAACCTGTAAAAATATGCAGATGTTTAAGTTAATCCCACAAAACTGGTTCTGTATCTACTCAATAAAGATTCTGTACGGAAACTACTCAATGAGGAAGCTCTCATATTATTAGATGCACTTGGTAAAGACAGATTCTTTACAGAATACAGAAAAAACGAAACGAAAACAAATCAAGCCTGCACCGTCCCGTTGACGAAGTCGCCAAAACATCTGATAAAAAGCTTTACACATTCTGTTTTTACCCTCTTTAATGAAATAATGGGTGAGTACGCAAGTATATTTGTTATTTTATTACTTAGTTACAAAACAAGTGTCAAAGTGCGATACCATTAAGATCTCAATAATACGTATGTAATGATACCTAACGGCAACTATACTCATCAGAATAGTTTATGCAACGTGATATACGGTTTTGAACTTTTGAACGATCTTTAATTTTGGAATTTATTCATATTATACTAGGTATTATAAATACAATTGAAAAGTTTCTATTTTTAATATTTTCCAGTACAAAAACAAACTATACTAATTTACATTGCTAAGAAAAGAAAAAAAACGATGGGCTGCACTCCGGGAGTGCCGGCAGAAGTGAAAACTTGAATATTAACGTTGTGCAGTTTTGATATTTTGGAATGGTTGGTGAATAATTTTGCACGAATTGCTTAAATTATCAGTATGAAAGTACTATCATGTATGTGGCAGAATACAGTATTTATTTATTGCGCTATCGTACACAAACATGACAATTTATATTACATTAAAAAAGTTTATCTCTCAGAAAAATCAACTTACAGGAATCACGTTTAAGCGCACTTTGCGACATCTATTGTAAAGAAATCAGCTTACATGAAACACATTTAAACGCATCTAGCTGTATGTATTGTAAAAAAAAATGCATTTTCTTCGCAATAAAGCTGCCACGTGAACGTCCTAGATAGTCTTATTATTATAATACGATAAAATAAAATATTACTGTGTTTCGTCCAATATATTGAAAGTCAACAACCTTTCCAATTTTATTGTGTGTCATGATGCGACCAGCCCACGTGTTTAACCTGACGCGTGTTAAACATTTTTTACCCATACAAAAAAAAGTGTACAAAGCCGCTAAAAAAGTTTTCACTTCAAAAAATAAACTTTAATTAACAAAACAAACAGTTTCAGTATTATGATTCGTGTTGCTATGACTTTTTTGATCTGTTATTGTCAGTAGGGTAAAACTACCAGTAACTGGCCCCTTAGTGACTTTGGTTACTTTCAACATAATGGTGCTAGTATTCTATTCATAATAGCTACATTTTCTTAATACCTATTTTTTTTAAACGCAGTTCAAAAAATTTTTTTGAAATTTTTCGTCACAAGTTAGATGGACAGCTAGGAAGGCAGTGACTGTGGACTTACTTGGTTTAAAGTTTTATTTTATACATGAACGTGTATAAAAGTATGCGCAAGATGAATCTTCGGTCACCCATCCTCAATGGTATTGAGGAACATGGACAATTACAAACTACTTGACTTACTTGACCCCCCCCCCCCCCCCAATGTTCAATAAATTTTGATGCGCCCAGAGCTTGCATCTCTACTTTTCACACCTTTATAAAGCTAGCTGGTGTATACTTTCTAAAAATATATTTGACCAAAAACTGATGTATAATCAATAATTTCCTGCCGAAATTAAAGCTAAACATTCGAATTCGCCTGACCGCTTTGGTAGGTTCCCTTAGGTTCCACTAACATAGGGCATTGTTTTAAAATTAATTTTGTTCCGACTATCAGACGCCATTCAAAGCTGCAGATAAAGCAACATATGTCTGCAGTAGAATCAAGGTCCAGATATTTTAGGAGAGCTTGATACCGATAAGGATAATATTCCTAGATCCCAGGCCCGGCAGACCTTACTAATTATTTATTTCTTTTTTCATTAAAAGTGTCTGGCAATAAACACTGCTAACTGCTAATAGAATGTGTCTGGCAATATTTATTTCAAATTGTTTACAATATATTCTACAACACACGTAAGAATCAGTCCTCAGACTGTAAGTAAAGTGATCGAAAAAGTTTTATGTACCTACCTATCTGTGCCAACTGATACCTGAGGCTACGGCCACAGCACATGTATGTATAAGTCATTGTCCACATTAATACTACTCGATTATCTATATTTCATCCATCACAAAATAAGTAAGGTCTGGGGGCGTAGAAACCAACTCTATAAAGGCTTAACAAAGTGAATAAAAACCAAAAATCTTACAAAATTTTCATTCGGGTAACCAATAGTAAAGTGTTATCGAATACGGTGAGATTAAATCTCTTCTGTGCCCCTAGTACGAACCATTATCGAATTCGAATAGTTTGCGAGTGCAAAATGTCAATGTCAAATTTTGTATGGAAACTTGAACAGCACCGCCACAAAGTACGTAACGAGAAGTAAAAATCGGTACATATTTGACAATGACATTTCGGACTCGCAAACGTTATGAATTCGATATTGGTTTGTTCTAAGGGAACTGATCGAAAAAATCGAAATTTTTAATCGGAACTTAGTAAGCGGGAGGACTCCGGGTGCGCTGGAGGAGGAGTAGCGAGTAAAACCTGTAAGCCCCCTCCCCTTCTGGAACTACAGAATGTGGTGAATCTTACTGTATTGTATAGAGAACTATCGCAGTCGATACAAGTTATCGCTATTGTTTTAACAGAATAACCTAGATCTAACCAAAGCGGCGAGGAATGAAAACTAAGGGCTTGTACAGATCAGGCGATTTATACTCTCGTATCAATAGACTATTTGGCGGTATTGAAAATAAAGTACTAATTATTAGCTTTGGTGTTTGACATGAATATTGAGGGCAAATTTATAATTAAAAAAAAAAGTTATGTTAGACAAAGTATCACACACGTTTGATCGGACCACATACACCGGTTTACCTAAAAAGCAGATTTAGATTCATGTATGATTCTCACGACCGTGTCCTCCGTTCAACGGACAACCTCCTTCTGCATACTCCCTTCCACTATTCTGGCTTCGTCTCTTATTCTATTACTGTCACGGCTGTATGACTCTGGAATGATTTGCCCCCCAATATACGTAAAGCTCTTAACAAAAATTTATTTAAGGGATATGTATTTATGGTTTGTGAGCACTATCTTAATATAATTAATCTGTGTTCTCATACTTGACTGGCATAATTATGTATATATTGAAGATATGTGTTTATATACCTATATATGGAACACCAGTCAGCTCGCGCCAACCGGATAACTCCTGATCGAAACGAATAGCCTACCAGCGATCACGAAGATAATAAGTAAACCACGTTTGCTCTGAAGATGAGAATCCTAGTCGAGAAAGGGCAGATATGAAAATATTATGATCGACAGCGTTAAAAGCGTTTGAAAAGTCAATTAAAAGTAATAGTATCAGATGAGATTTTTCCTGGCCATCCCGTACATCTTCAAGGACTTTGGTGAGAGCAGTAGTGGTACTATGGCCGGGACGGAAACCAGATTGAAAAGGGCAAAGAAGTTTATTAGAAATAATAAATATTGTAACTTGTTTGTGGACTGTGGCTTCAATGATCTTAGATAAGAATTCCATTCTTATCGATATATAAGTATAATGAATAGAGATAGGCCTTCAGTGACTAAGGGAAGTGGGACAATTGTTTTTAGGTAGTGGGATAGTTAAGGATTTACTCCAGAGATCAGGAAAAGAGGCATTAGGGA